TTTCCCTCCATCAAACACTAGCTTTCTCCGGATGGCACGTCCGGATACTGGTCAGGTAAAATCCTTTCTGGATCTGCTGATCACAGAATCACAGGATCACAGGCTGGTTGAGGCTGGACAGGATCTCTGGAGACCAGTTCAATCTCCTCTGCTCAGGCAGTGTCACCTACAGCCTGTGACCTAGGATTGTGCCCAGATGGTTTCTGAATATCTCCACAGAGGGAGATTCCACAACCTCTTTGGGCAACCTGATCCACTGCTCTGTCACCTTCTCAGTGATGGACCTTCCTGTGTTTCAGTCTGTGCCTGTTGCCTCTCGTCCCATCACTGGCCACCACTGAAGAGCCTGGCTCCATCCCCTTTACACCATCCCTCAGGTATTTGTCCCATTGATAAGATCCCCCCTCATCCTCCTCTTCTCCAGGCTGAACAGTCCCAGCTCTCAGCTCCTTCCTCCTGTGACAGAAGCTCCAGTCCCTTAACCAGCCTGGGAGGCAGAATGTGACCGTCATGGTCTTGGCTGCTGAGGGAAAGGGCCACGTCTGCCCTATGAACCTGGCTGCTCATAAGCAGCACCTGATCAGCTGGAAAAGACGCCCTGTGGCTTCTCAGGCTTTTTGGGAGGATACAGGGAAACATCCAGCTCATCCCAACTTAGGAAGCAACTTTGGCTTTGCTTGCACTTGGACGCTCAACAGAGAGAAAATAAATGAAGGCAGGCTGCTGTGCATGGGGACTGGAGAGCCCGCGTCCCCAGGAAGGGATGGGGAGATGTCTCCCCAAGGGATGCTGGCAGCGGCTCTAGGGACCCTGCTCTGTCTCCTGTGTCCCACCAAAGCCTGCAAGCAGCTGCCTGCACTGCTGCATCCCAGGGAGGAGCAAGAAGTGAGGAGAGCAACTGTTACCAGGAAGGGGGGAATCTCCAGGACTTCTCCTCAACAGCTCCTTATCTCAGCGAGGTTTTCCAAGCAGCAAAGCAGGGCCCAACATCTTGGTTCACTCCACGCTGCCATGGGGCCTTCCAGGAGCTTGGCTTCCCCTCTGCTCCCGCAAGGCCGACTGCAACCCTCCTCCCCAGGCTCGTGTGGCCCCAACGCCGGGGGAGCCGGACCTGCCCGCTGGAGCAGGGCACATGGGGACATGGGCATAGGGTCCCCCTTGGTGCCAGCCACGTATCCGCGCTTGGGCGTCGCTTCCATGGCCTTCTCCATTGCCAAGGGGGCAGCACGGGGGGATGCAGCCACCAGCGAGGCCGTGCTCAGCCGCGATGGGGGACACGTCACCAGCACTGCAGGACAGCAAAGGCGCATCCCGCAGACGCTTCCAGGATTTACCCTGGAGTTTTCCAGCCTTGCTGCCTCTCCTCTTCACTGACACCCACCAGCCCTGGCCAGAAACCAGCTCCAGCTTGCTGGGGAAGCTCCATGGAAACACTTTCCTGCAGATCCACGAGAAAAGCAGGATCGGTTCCGCCGCAGGAGCCTGCAGGACGCGGAGCGACCGTGGCACTTCAGGAGCGCTCGGCCTCCAAAAGCAGAGCAGGATCTCGCAGTCTCGCCCCGCAAAATCACACGCTTGCAAGGGACTTGCCTGCATTTGGGGCAGTCAGGGACCAGAATAACTCCCTCTCCTGTCTCATCAGCATGTGAATAAACCAGCCACGGCTAAAAATAACCTCCGGACCTTTTCTGACTGCTTCCTACACAGCCATTTTGGGGGGGATGCTGGAAAGAGACTGAGTTCTGCTTAGCACAGCTGCCAGGCACTGGATTACAGGGAAGATTAACTGGATTACTGAAGCTGTAAACTTTGCAAAAAAGCCCATCTTCTCCCTCACCATCTCCGCAGGCCCTGGCATTCTGCATGCAGAATGGCACAACACAACCAGGCCCTTTTATTCGCGACTAAGAGCTTTAGCTCGAGTTGACGGTACCTGTGCTAATGCTCTCGAAAAGCCATAAACCCTCTTGCCGTTTTTGGAAGCTGGGAAAGACCGATCCTGGCAGGAGCTGATCTTTTGGGGACGCACCGCACCAAGGAGGCTCCCAAAACGGCGAGCGCTTGTGCCGGCCATGCTGCTGCGTGTTCCCAAGCTCTTGCCATCCCGTGCCCCGGCCGGCTCTTACCTCTCGGCTAGCGATGGGGCCTCTTTGCTGGCCAAACCCCCCTGGGGCACCGGGAGGCCGTCAGGGCCCCGCGGCCGCGCGTTTATTCTGTCCCCGCGCATTAGCCGCCGCTCGGGTGCTGCTTGCAGAGGAAGCGAAAACCATCTGTAATTACGGAGGCCAATCGCTTCCACTCGGAAAGAAGGCGAGACAGAGCTTGGGAAAAGCAGTGAGCCGGCAGCGACGCGGGAGGGGGGCCCCTTCCCTCCCCGCGGATCCTGTCCCCTCGGGGAGGCTGGAAAAGCGAGGCCGGGCGGCGCGGGCACGCGGCGCGCGGGCTCCGCATGGCCGCTGCCCGGCCTCAAAGGCCTGGCATTCCAGCCGGGAACTGCCCTCTCCTGGAAATGGGTGCCCACAGGCTGGATTCGGGGGGGAAAAGAGCTCTGTGCTGCCACCAGCTTTGATTTCTTGCTTATTTTTTTGGATGCAATTCCAAGCAGTCACCCAGAGCCGGTGCATCCGCATGCTCGCTAGGGGAAGCGTGGAAGAAATTCAGAAATGGGAGCTGAGAAAAATCTGCATTTCAGGCAAATTTGAGCGTTGTCAATCCTGCAGGATTACAGCGCTGGAGAGGGCAATCCCCATGCACCAATTTGAGGTACACTGAGGTACATTCAGGAAGGCAGGGGTGTCCTTTGGCAGGACGTGGGGGCATGGGAAGAGGCCCCTCCTGGTTGGTGACATTTCACCCCAGTTTTTGGAGAGATTCGGACAATCGGCTCCGTTAGAGGAAGGGGTTCCCTCCATAGCCCACTTGCTGGATGGAAATCACCACAATCCCAGTACTGCACCCCGAGCACGGCTTTCCACAGAGATGAGGGAGCTGGACGAAGACCCGCTTCAACCCCACAGCACACGTCATACCGATAACATCCCCAGTCGACCGCAGCACAAGTAGGATCCAAACCCAGCGCTACCGGCACCGCTTGGCCAGCAAAGAGCCTTCCATCCCTCCTCGCGGCCGCCGCTCCAAGCGCCCACGTGCGGAGCATCCCCGGCAGGTCCGAGGGGGATTTTCGCTTCCTTGCTCCCAAATGGCAGCTCGTGGGAGCTCCCTGGCACCTGCACTCGCCTCCAAGCCCCCCGGCACCCGCTCACAGCCTGCTGAGCACTGACAAGTCCTGGCCACGTGGCTGGGGAGCCCTGCTTGGGCCCAGGCGCCGCGTCCACAGCCGAGCTCCACTCCATGGTCACCTCCCTCCTCCGTGTCATGGAAAGCAGCTGGGATTTGTTACAGCATCTATTGCTACTCTTGGAAGGAAAGCCAGGTAAGAGATTCAGTACCCTCCCTGCCAGGTAACGGCCCAAAAACCTCCCGGCTGCTTTTGGGAGCTACCTGGGAAGCCTCAGGCACGCCAGAGCACTGTGTTAGCATGAAATTAACTGAAATAAGGCTCCCAGGTTCACTGAAGGAGCTGGTGGCTTTCTTGCCTTGCTGGGGAATGTCACTGAATGGCACCTGGCGGGCAGTGGTCAGACGTTTGTGCACAAATTTGTCGCTCCCTGTTGCCCCCAAAAGCACAGAAACATCCGTGAGCATTTCCAGATGGGTCTCCTTTGGGTTGAGCAGACTCTGACACCCTGCAAGGAGCTGATCCCCTTGTTTAATCCCGAATCTGCCAAGCCCCGGGTGATCTGGCACCCCAAAGCCCCTTCTCTGCCCATCAGTGCCACCCTGGCACGCCAGCCCGGGGAGATGCTGGAGCCGGGGGAGCAGGACGCTCAGCGCAGCCCTGGTGCAGCACACGAGCAGGAAGGGCCTGCGCGCGAGCTGGGAAGGCACCTGGGCACCCGCAAGCCCCAAAGGGGACCGCAGGGACCAGCTCTGCTCACGGATCCACGAGGAACCATCGGGAAAGCACCCGGAGATCGAGTCCTGCTTCCCTACCCGCACTGTCCTGGGATGCTGGGATAGAAGGAGCGCATCGCGGTGTCCTCAAGGACACGGGTGCCAGCAGCTCCCAGAGCATCGGTGCTCCAAAGCCACCAATCTTCCACCTCCTCAAAGCCACGAAGCCCCCGCTCCAGCCCACGCCACCGCGTTCACTCAGGCACCCAACCGGCGGCTGCGGCTCGTGGGCACGCGGGCGATGCGGCCCTGCGCCCGGGCCCGCGTGCAGAACCTGCTCCAGCAAACGAGCAGATGGCAGCAAATGAGCTCAGGCAAACGCTCTGCCAGCACCCACTTGGCCCGAGCCAGGGTGTCCCCAGAAGGTTTTGAGGAGCTTTTAACAAAACGCCGCCCCCAGAGCCAATCGCGGCTGCAACGCTGCGAGTCGGCGGAGAAACAAGGGTGAAGGGTGGTGGGTTTGGGAGGGAATCGTGGTGCTGGAGGCAGCTGTGACACGGCTGCGCTGAC